CAAAGTGCTCTCTAGGGTTCCTAAATAAAATATGGCATTGAGGTCATTTCTTTTGAATTAATCCCTTCTTCTGAAATATAAGAACCTCTCCTGGTTTTAATGGCACTTTGGATTTCCTTACTTTCTGTTCCACTTACATACCCAAATAGATGCTGACAAGCTGACACAGTAACATGGAAGAGGGAAAGACGTTGGAAAGGACTACTACAAATAAACCCAATGCCTAACAATGAAAAATGTAAAATAAGAACAATAATAATAATAATAAAGATAAAAGATGAAGTAACAAGTTTTTAGTTTTGTTTATTCCAAATGATCATCCAGATGTCTGTGACATGTGATGACAAACACCATAATGGAAGGCCTTAGTCATCACATGCTTAAACTCATCATATATTTTTGCATATGCTGAACAGGCAGTCAGACATGCTGTAAATGGGGGGTGGAAAACATGCTGCACTAATGAATTAGACTAACTATTCACTTTAGCTAAAGTTATTAAGTTAGCTAAAGAGTTGGGATGCTGTGTAAGACATAAATAAAGCTAAAATACAAAGGTTTGGACACCTTTTTGCATGTTTCCCTACTGTAGGGGTCTCTGCAAGCATACAGAGGGGGTACTCTGAGAGGGTCCAAGATGACAACTTTGGAATTCTACTAGAAACAGTCGATCATATTTGTCAAAGCTGAATTCAGGGCAAACTATGCTAAATTAGCGTTTTTAGCTAACAGCTACAATAAGCATAAAAGTTACCTTACGGCTATTATTTGTTAACTTGACGCTTGTTCTTATACATGTAATACATTTATTACCAACCTGAGAGTTTATCCGCTGGTCATTCGACATGACGAATGACTTCTGAAGTCTTAATTCAGCTCAAGACGCTGTAGATTCCCATCAGTAACACTTTCGGTCCGCTAGTAAAACGTAGTTCTATTAATCTGCGCTTGAACCGGAACCGGATGTAAGTTCCAAAAAACTGAATTTTGGAACTGAAATTGAATTGTAGAACTGAAGCTGAATGGTGAGAAGTGAAACTGAAATTATTCGAGAGCTGAATTTTTAAAGGATAAAATGCAGTTTCAAAGCAAATCAATTCATTTTCAAAATATAAAATGCAATTTCAATTTAGTGATGATCATTTTCAAACCATAAATTCAATTTCAAATTAGACTAATTCAAATTCAGTTTTCAAAAGCATTTATTCAAGTTACAATTCAGATTCAATCTGAGCAATTCAAATTCAAATTTAACTTATTCAAATTCAGTTTCTGATGGCACAGATTTCTGCCCATAAGCGCGCACTGTAAATTGTGCCGAAAGCAAGTCTGGAAATACAATAAACTCAATGCTCAATCTCTGACTGAAAGCACTAATTCGTCATTCGGCTTTTGTCAGATTAAATGTGTGATTATAATCAAATTTATTGGTGAAAACTACAAATACTTTGAATAAAAACAGTGAAATACCTTAATACTCACAACCAAACAATTATGTTAATTTGACATGCAAATATTGTAAAAATTATAGTTTTAGTCAGTTGTTTTTAAAAATACAAGAATTATATGTATTATATATATCCATGCACTTTACAACTGCATGGATGTACTGGGCCTACTTTTAACATGATTCATGAAATGATGCAAATTCAGGGATAGGACTAATAAAAATGTTTTCACAGAAGATGTCATTGTGAACCTGAGAGGTTGCCTCTCTATTTATAGGCTATATAAAAATATACAATTAAAATTGTGTACATTATGTTTTTGGTTTTTTTTAATCATTCGGGCTATTTGCAGCCTATTGTAGAGTAACCTATAAGAAATTATTATTTAACGACTAAGTAATGCTTGTATTCTTTATGTTTCTTTTAATGGCAATGTGATACTTAGACAAGACTACTTTTTTGGGTTAGGTTAGCAATGTCTCATTATTACAGGCTAAACAAACTTACAGTTCGTGGCTAGTTCACTAGTTCATGACTATAGCTAACAAGCCAGCACGAGAGAGAAGACGGGAGAAGAAAACGTCGAACTTTTAGCAACTACGTTTTTAGGACAAATTACAAACATACGAATTCAAGTGTTTTTTTGAGGATCTGTGTTTATTCGTCAGAAAGTCTGCACGGTAAGTTTAATATCTTGGCAACTTTTTTTTCGAGATAAAAGCACCAGTTGATATTTAGACCAATGCTCAATAACCTAGCGCTAGCATGCTAGTTCAGCTGAAAAGCAAAGGCAAACTTTTGAAATACTAAAAATGATCATCTGCGTCTTTTGTAAAAAGGTATTGGTCACATTAAGAGGCTATGTACTACATTGCAGAGTACACAAGAATGAGCCTTGTTGTTTTTTTAAATGTGTTGGCGCCAATTGCAGCCAAACATTCACCACATACTCTGCTTTCAAGCGGCATTTTTATCGTGTGCACAATGCACCTGCACTTCAAGCTACTCCTAAAGCTCTTGTTGCAGATTTAAAATGTGCGGTTTCATTATGTGCCCGCCATTTCCAAACAGTGAAAGAGCTAGTGTCTCACTTAAACGATCATATTACAGAGGGCAGGTCTGTGTCATGTCCAGTAAGTGGTTGTAAGCATATGTTTACAAAAGTAATATATGCATTTTTTATTTCTTTTTTTTTTTCTGCTCATTCTGTTGGTTTTTGTTTTTTGCCCTTCTCCCCCGTCCCTCTTCTCAGCTGTTTCTCTTTCCCTCTTTCTTTCTCCCCTTCTTTCCCCCAGTCAAGTCTGTCCCGTATTCAGTAAGTGAAAATAAAATAAACAATAAAAGGTGAATCAAATGGACCATTACGGCAAGGCTGGGATGGTCAATTTGGTAAAGTAAATCCGTTGGGCATCTTTCTTTGCCTTTAGACAACAATTCTGATGGCAAAAGAGCCAAACGGGACAGGCAAAAAAAGAAAAAAGAAAAAAAAGAAAAGAATGAAGGGTAAATTTAACTGGGAAAGAATAAGATAAAATATATAAATTAAAGTTGAAAATAAAATAACTATATATAATATATATATATATATATATATATATATATATATATATATATATATATATATATATATATGTATATATATATATATATGTATATATATATATATATGTATATATATATATATAATAAGAGCAGCTGTACAAGTATTGAATGGAAATGAAGAAATATGATGTCCAGTGTTGTGCAATCCACATTTGTAAGTGTCTTGTACAGTGCAAATATCCTTAAAGTGATTTAGTGATGAAGTGCATGCAAACCAGTAAACAAATTAAAACAAGCAAATACTGTTAAGAAACTATAATACAAAAACAGCTGGTGAAAATATAAATAATATGTAAACAACTTAACAACCCCCAAAGCGTCCAAGTCATGTCATGTCAACATCTAAACACAAGAGGGGGGAGGGGGAGCAAAGTGTGCCTGCTTTGTGCTGACACAGGAATGGCAAGTCCAGCAACCTGGCTGTTTGGCCTTTGCCAAAACCACAGCATTGCAAACAAGAGCGGAAGTAAAGAATCAATCTCACCAGGCTAGTATCGATCCGATACCGATGCAGACTTGGTATTGATATGATCAATATTTGGATCAATCCGCCTACAGCACTTTGTGAACCCTGGTTTTATGTTAGAGTGCTTTATAAATAAAGCTGGCATAGTATGTTCTAATTCTTTTTTTTTTTTTTTTTTTTATTAATATTTTTGGATGGACAGAAACATTAATAAATAAATATACAACTGCAATAATCATACTGTCAGTTCTCTGTCCATTTCTAAACAAACAAACAAACTAAGACAAGCAAACAAACAACACACAAAAAAAAAAAAAAAAAAAAAAAAAAAAAAAAAAATATAGTATGTTCTAATTCTAATTCTAATTGTGATCTGCCTCTAGTTAAAGGTACAACAGAGAGCTTGGATAACCTCCAGCTCTATTGCAAATTGCAAAACCATGCCACCTTTCCTGGTTCCACTGCACATTCAGACTGCCAGCTTCCTTCATGTTCACCTTGCTTCTCCCATCCAAATGGATGGACTCATAACCACTGCTACATTATGAAGTGAAGTCTTGTATTTAGCACGTTTAGTGCAGTACACCACATATCACTTAAAGACCTTGAATCTATTCACTGTTTACCTTTTGACATCTCTCTCTAAGTTGGAAAATTATATCTTCTATTTCTGAGAGTAAATTGCACTGTTAAAAAAATGCAACTCGGAATTTGTAAGCCATTACATTTTTGATTCAGGATTTTTTGTTTGCTTTTATATCCTGTGCTGTCTGGCAGGTTTTGCAATCAGATTAGGCTTAACTCACATTCCAGAATTAAGGAAACTGACTCACACTTGGCTTTTCTCAAATCATCTTATCCTCTTTATCCTCAAAATACTATTTTGAATTTAATGTCTAAAATTTGATTTTAGTCTCAAAATGATACATTAAGATAATATGTTTATCCTAACATGTCATTAATACTTAGAGGTGGGAAAGATGGGAAGCTCAGATGTTTTGAAACTGTGTCGGGCCTCTGAAGCTCAGATGTTTCGAAACAGGTTCTAAACACCCAGGTCACATGACCACGACTAAATGAGGTTAGTGTACATCACCCTAGTTTCAAAAGCCAGTGAAGCTGCTTCAGGACAGGGGTGATGTGGTGAATAGAGGGAATCTTAGTGATAACATGGGCAAGCAGAGACCCGGACACGTTGAAGCTTATTGGTAGAAAACAGTCATTTCTACAGTCATTGGTTAGACCAAAAAGAAGGTAATTACAGTAACAAGGCTATGAACTACTAGTACGATTTTCCGTCGTATTGAGACTGCAACAAAACGCTGCTTAAATTTAGAGTATTGAGACTTGCCATTGTGAAATGCACATCTTAAATGGTTCGTTGTAAGGCTCTTATTTTGAATGAATTTTTCGGACACTCCACACCAGTTGGTGGCGGTAATGCACCATTTTGATGTTTGCTAACCTTGTGAAGAAGAAGAAGAATTTTCCGGAAGTGTCGTCTGAACTGACTGTGAAGGTATTCGGTTACACTCTTTGGACTGCTCTGTGTTGTTTTCTGTTTAAAATTTCGGATTCTTCAGAAAAAGGAAACAGATAAGCAATCTGTAATCTTGGTAATTTAATCAACGGATATACCAAAAGCATTTATTGCCGTTTTCCCTAAAAGGGAGGTAAGTACACGGTTGAAGAACTAGTGTGCTGCGTCATTATGAGTTAGAGCCTTAGTGTTTTAGCAAGGCTAGCCGCAGCTAAGAAGCATGTGAGCGGACGGTAAAAGAGGACGTTTTATACTTCAACTTTCAAATGAATTAGACTGTATGTCTTGGATATATTTTACTCTCTCTTTCAATGTATCAGAACATTACTGATTAAATCAAAGCTAACCGTATTTTACGAATATTAGCTTGGCGGTAAGGCGAACGTGGTTTTAGGACAACCAGGGCTCTGTCAGCAAGCTCACTATAGAACTATAGTGAGCTTGCTGACAGAGCCCTTAATATTTGTGATGATGTTATTATTTGGTATCTCAATCTGCGAATGTTGCGATAATGCGGAAATGTATCTTTATATTGAACAAACGACTTTCTGTGGTGTGTTGTCGAGCACTTACTGTAAAAAGTACCTATTGTAGGTGAAGCTAATGCTGAGCCTTAGCTTAGCAAGAGGCTAGGTAAAGCTAGGCCTTAGCTTAGCAAGAGGCCATTATAAGTTCCTATTACGTTTAAGCAATAGATATCTCAGCGCGCCTGTAAGGAGAATGTGCCAGTACCTAACACGAAGTGGTTCATAAGTGATTTAATAGGAGTGAATTATTTTTCGAGCCCAAACGGGAAAATACTCTAAACGTCTTTCATATTAGTTTGGTAGAAAATAAACACTATGCCGACAATTTTATAAATGTTTGGATTATTCTGTACAGTTGTAAATTAGTTATTGTTCATTGGCCTGTGTTTACTGTATTACCTTTGTTTGGTAATCAAATCTACGCCAACATAATTGTATGTTTCTGTCTTTACATGTTCAGGTCTTTGTGGACAGGTTTCTTGCAGTCCAGCTGACAAACCACAATGATCACTAGAAGAAGTCGCACTGTCACCAACACAAAAGTGCAGTCTCCAGAGGTTGAGGCGGTAGATGTGGAAAGTATGAAAGATCTTCCGATTCCATGTGACGGATTCCGAGTTAAAGATGTGGATGCTGCTGGAGTAGAGCTTGATGACCTGTTTGAAGACTTAAAATGGACACTAGACAGAGATGCTTCATCCTCGCTCTTCAATATTGATTTGGCTGATCTCTGTGTGTACAACACCAAAGATGGAGACTCCGGGCTTGAAGCTTCAACTGCCTCATCTCCTGAGAGATATTCCTCTGACTCCCAGAACAGCAGGCAAAAACAGTCAAGTCACGTGACTAACAAAAATGCAATCGCTGCCAGATTAAATCGTCTCAAGAAGAAGGAATATGTCAATAGCTTGGAGCAGAAGATCGGCATGCTTTCAACGGAAAATAGCACGCTCAAAATAGAAAATTCTCAGCTGACCAAGAGAGTGGAAGAGTTGGAAGATGAAACCAGGTACTTGAGGGCTGTGCTGGCAAATGAGAGCATGTTAGCCCAGCTCTTGTCCAGGCTGAGCGGTGTGAATGGGATGAAATTATCTTCCTCACTTTTCCAGGGGCCCAACTCAAACGAGCACGACTACGCCCTGCCCAGGAAATGGGCCAGAGTGGAGGAAAAAGAAACATCTGGTGGCGTGTGTCTTCATGTGGACAAGAATCATGTCTCAGTGGAGTTCTGTACCAAGTGTGCAGAGAGTGCAAGCACGGTGCTCAAAATGTAGGGTCAAGTACTTCTCTTTGTTTTCAGATATTGAGACTGAGCTTGATGGGGCTCAGTGTGCTGAACTTGAGGCTGGATGAACGCTTTGAATTGATTAATTACCTAAGAACTGTGCATGTGTTTTTGTGTGATGATGGAGTTCATGTTGCTGCTAAACCTTGTTGACAGTTTCTTCTAGGTAATTGGTTGATCCACCATGCGGGATGAGTGGCTTTCAGAACGCCTTTGTCTGCTTGACTCCATGGTAAGGATCAGACAAGAACAGACATTTTCTGTTTTGTTTTATTTCACAGGGTATAGCATTCAGCCGCGACGCCAGTGTTTTTGTTTCTATAACTTTATTTTCCTGCTAGTTTTTGAGCACGTCTTTTCCATATGGATTGTTGTTATAGGAAATAACTTGATTAAAGTTAATTAGGTTTTACTCTTAATTGTCTTTTATCTTTAATCTTAAGATGTTAAGATAAAGGTGCGGGTCCACAAAGAGTGATCTTATATCGTCTCAAATTGGAAAAGCAATAATCTGTCGGAAGACAATTTTTTTGTATGTTCAGTTTTTGTAGAACTAATCTCTTTGTGAACCTGCACCCCTGTACAAAAGAATACTTTCATTTAGCGCCACCTATTTTTCTTTATGCTAAAGTGGATTCTGCTGGTGGAAGGGGAAGAGGCTGGACAAGCGGCTGCCATCGTGGCCTGGTATTTTTTTAAAGGTAGTATCGGTATCAAATGGTATTTGTGATCCTATTTCATCACTACTCCACAACATCTGTAGCTGCTGATCCTGTCAGCATAGCTCCCGCAGCATTTTTAAGGGCTGACAATAGCTTCTCGTTTATGCAAACACAAGTTTAACAGTCTAAGAATTATAACTTGTATATATTGTTGGAATGTATATTTAACATACTCAGAAAAATCTGCTGTACGTGGAAAAAAATGTGTAAATGTGTACATAACTCTGAACACATACTGTTTTAGGTAAATGGCCTTTGAGAAATGTTGGACAAATAAATCTTATTTACAGTACTTTTGACTTAAAAGCATCTGCTGGTTTTGTTTTGTTTTTGAGTCTTGTTTAGTACTGTTGATATTAATGTGTCTCTTTTTCTCTCTCTAAACAGCAAGCTCTCTGCCGATAAACTGAACATTTGGGTCAAGTCTGGTAAAGGTTGTCAAAACAAATGACCAAGACCTCATTTGATGGAAGCACAAAGCATGAGGGCCCACAGGGGTTTTCTTGCCCATGTTTTATCCCATTTACTTCAGATTACACAGCCACATCCTACACCTAAAATTAGTGGCGTTTTTATAGGTCTCGGTCAGTCCACTTAAACTGTACCAAGCCAGTCCCTGGTGATCTTTTCACTCCTACACGTCAGGGTATATTTACACTGCTGGGATTGCCAGCCATGTGACTGTCAAACACCATTTTCAGTAATTGTGTAGTTACTTTGGAACAGGAAACCTTACTTTGAGCTTAACTCATTAGTTCAATTCAAATGTTCGGCTTTCATAAGTTGCTCTATCCTTAAGTTTGCGTCACATGAAAAGCTGTCCATGTGAAAACTAGTGGAAAGCTTTTATTTTCAAGTGAAAATGGGTGTAATGAGTCAGATCTCTACACAGTAAAGTGTGGTCTGTAGACAGCAGATGGATTTAAGTGAATTGCTTTAATTTCAATCACTAATATTGTATACATTGTAATATAGTTTATTTGAAAACTACCTTTGATCCACTGAGATCTTTCATTTTTCTTCAGTGCGCGTATGCAGACTGGAATGATTGATCAGCCAGGCATTAAATTGTGATGCATGTGAAAGTGGAGTCTATTAGGTGAGCTTAGCATGGAAACCAAATAAGTACATAGCTTCTCTGACTGTCCAAAGTTTATATATTTTTCTTCTCGTGATGGTTAGCTACAGGCTGTTGGACTCTGATTTGAAAGTGTTGTATAACATTGCAGAAAACCAAAACCATCGACAGTGGGAAACTCATTCACTCACAAGTCAGACTGTAAGATCTGTAGCTTAATGATCATCTGTGTCAATCCTCATGGATATCAGTCTGCATGTGAGCTGTATACTTAAAAAAAAAAAAATCCCCCCCACTTGTAGTACAAATGGCACTGTTTTGTTTTTTTTAATGTATGAATTCACATACCTCATGTATGGCTAAATAAGTCACCCCCTGCTGGCAATGAGGAATAATGCATATTTAAGGTACTTGAAGCATTGCATGTGACATACGTGGACATTGTTGACTATTTGTTGTACAACTGTGTAAGAAATGAGCAGTTTCAGCTCCAGTCAGTTTAAATCAGGGGTGTCCAACATACGGCCCGGAGGTCAGACTTGATCCAGGAAAGATGCCAACCTACTAGATGTCTTTGGAAAATGTGGAGGGCATAGAATTTGGACTTTATTTACATAGCTTTGGCAGCTGCCTGTGCTGCTAATAAAAACACTGCCACAGACATTCATACTACGAAGTAATAGACAATTAAATGATAGAGAAGTTTCCTAATTACAGGGCAGTCTGGGTAATTAAAAAAAAAAACTACTGTCGTTTTATGTTTACTTCTTACAGTTTAAGACCAAAGGATCATGCTGAGCTGCATTTCTTTGTCATGTAGTAACACTGAGATGTGCTGTTGGGATATTGCAGGGATTAGATTTGCAGTTAAACAACTTCTTGTGTGTGTATAGTTTATTAATCAATGGGGGGGGGTGGAATTACTCTCTCTGCCTTTAACCCATTCACTCAGTGAAGCAGTGGGCAGCCACATCAGGTGCCCGGGGAGCAGTTTGTAGGAATGGTACCTTGCTCAGGATAGCCGTTCAGCAAATTTGAACCCCCGACCTTCCAATTATGGGGCAAACACGCTACCTACTGAGCTATCATGGACAGTATCCCGCATTCTTGATTTTTAGTTCACAAACACTTCTTGGCTTACAACTCCTGAAACTTTGGAGGCTTTTTATACAGCTCTTTATACAGTAAAGTTACAGTGGGATACAAATAATATCAGGGTGATCCTGCCACAATTTGTTCCCCCTGTCCAAATCGCAGAAAAACACTAGTTTATGTTTCTAAAACCATTTTGCACAGCTGCATTTTTTTGAAAAATGTATCAATAGTAATGTTGAATATTATCACACAGGAAAAAAAACAACTACACGTAAAATAATTCCATCATGGCGCCTGTCTTTCTAAATGGAGGGACACTAACTGCGTGTGTATATGTAAGCGTGTAAAAACTGCAGATAGGAAGATTATCCATCTGCCATTGTAGAAATTCATCTCATGTAAACATGGCGCACAGCGTGACGTGAAAAAAGGCACATACCTTTTGACGTTGCTTGACAAACTCCTCGTCCACAAGTAAATACAAAAACTGAGTTTTTGAAAATCTCCAAATCTGACAGTTCTCCTTTTTCGGCAATTTGAAACGGCGTTTACGTGTGGACGAAAGGTCCAAACGCATAGAAAAAGCTGCGTTTTCAAAAATACCCGTGTAGATGTGGATGTAACAAAAAACAGTTAGTAGTTTATTGCTACCTGTAATTTATTGCAGCTTTTATTTGTTTAATTGGTTTACTAAATGTTTGAGGTGTGAAATAAACTAGGGGATTTAGGTGGTGGGGGGCGCAAAGATTTTCTTGTAAAACAAAGGGGGGCCTAGCAAAAAAAAGTTTCAGAACCACTGTTCCAGTGAATGCCATATTTTAATTCATTTTTGTGTTTAATATATTTTGTGAAAGCACTGTTTTGACATCGACCTATTTGGTGCATGTTATACAGTGCGTGTTTCAAGTTTCACATAAACTGGTTCACTTTCAGCACTTTTAATGGAACCACCAGGCATAGAAGTGGTTTGCTTTGCACCAGGTCCAAGTACAGAGCTTTCCATCAGTTTCAACCCCAATTCTGAAGAAGCTGACAAAGTGTAATGACATGCATCTCTCATAAAACTACAGTTTAATCACAATGTATCTCAGGTAACATCAAATGTTTAAGCTGAGGAAATGTACTATTTTGAGAGAAAATTACTCATTTGAAATTTTGGCAGCAGCACGTGATCAGAAAGTTGAGGCCAGCCCATGTTTACTACAATGTTGCAGTAGTCCTTTAACCTCCTAGGACCTGCCGTCCACATATGTGGACATCACATTTTAGGTTATTTAGACCAAAATACTCAATTTTGCCCTACATGGGCCTGATATCTACTTATGAGGACATTATACTGCTACTGTTCTATCAAAATTTTAAACGAGTATCCTCATATGTGGCTCTCATTCTTCTTAAAAACAAAAATAAGGTAAAAAAAAAAAATCTGGTAATTCTTTGTTTTTACATTCATTGGGCCCCAATATGCCCAAATATCAAAGAGAAATTAAAAATGCATGTTGTGGAAGAGTTCGGGTCTTAGGAGGTTAACGTGTTTAAAAAAATAACTCCCGGAGAGCAGCCATTTGGCTTTTCTACCTTTAAAACCCGGAGAGCAGCCAAATGGCTGGTAGGCGTTTAGCTAAGCTTTAGCTTCAGCCAAGTGGAAGTTAAATTGGCTAGTCATTCATATGTAAATTAGGTTGTTACCTGGGAATTCTGGAGGGAGGGGAGTGGGGGTGTGTGGATGAGGGGGTGGGCGAGCTGCTAAAAGCTGTGAACTTCCTTTTGTGTTCGTCTTGATGCATTCTCAATCATCCAGGGAAATAAATCTCCAAAAGTCATCAACTTGGGAGTGTTTCAGTTTGCCATCTTAGGGAGAAATCAACACACATGGTGGGTGTATGTCCTTTGTTGCTGAGATTTATTGATAAAAACAGTACAAAAAACCAACCATTTGTACACATATTTACAAATGGCCTGCTGAGTGGTGCACGGAGCATGTTCATTGGTTCATGGACCTCCCTGAACTAATGGCATTTATTGCAATTGTCATCTTGCGGGGGGTTAACAGGGTTCCATCTCTAAATGACTGCTGGTCAGCAAACCTGGGAAACCCACAGATAATTGGAACTATGGCACGAAACCGCTTCCAAGACATCATGCAACACCTACGCTTTGATGACAAGTCCACCCGCAGTGATCGAGCAAAGACTGATAAGTTTGCTGCAATTGCAGCGAACTTATGTGAAACTTATGTGAAACTGGGTGTGGGTCCCAATCAGCCAGAGTTTCGGGTGAGTTCATTGTGAAACCTGGCCCCACCTTATGCAAATTCCTGAGATCAGATGGCCCAGGATGTGAGTGGTGTCTGGGAAGGGATCTCAAAACTGGATTATAGATGGCAGAGAGTTGGTGTCCACTGTGAGCGACCATCTTTGAACAGAGGCGGTGGTTTACGACACCAACTCTCTGCCATCTATAATCCAGTTTTGAGATCCCTTCCCAGACATGGTCAAAAGTATTGGCACCCTTCACGAGTGTCTTTTGCAGTGATATGTCACACTTTAGCATTTTAAAATCCAAAGCAAAGGTTATAGGTAGTCAGACGTCAGCTGACGCTTGGTCTAGCCCTGAGTCTCGGCCAGGCTTGGTCAGACTGTTATTTTATTAAAACAAACAACAACAACAACAAAAAACAACTGAATCCGGCTCCAAAGCCGACCAAGACTCAGAGCCAGACCTGGGGCCCGTTCTTCGTACGTCGCTTACTACATCCAAGATCAAATGACACATCCAAGACCAAATCATCACGCTAACCGTGAGCTCGCTAATCCGGTTCTCCGAACACACCTGCTGTTGACGATTAGTACAGCTGGATGAAGTAATGTGAGATCATTGGGTGTCGTAAAAGGGGCTACGCATCGATAGTAGAAACATTGATCGGCTTCCCAAATCCACCTTCGCTTTTATAGCCGTGGTCTCCCATCTTGATTACACGAAGTAATTTACTATTACTACTCTGAAATATGAATTACATCTGTAATAATCACATACATGTAATAGAATGTTAATAGTACATTTCCCTTTTTTAGGAAATGACCTGTATGTATCTGTATGGAATCAATAAAAGGATCAAGTGCTGCATTATCTTTAGTAACATTGATATTATTTATTTATGGTGAAACAGTGGTGGAATATCGCTGTTGCTTTCGTATAAATGAAGCGGACATACCTGCGTGGCCGCGATCTAATCCTGTTTACATAAAGTAAACCTGCTCCCGAGCAGGTTTACGCTTACGGCTCTGTTGCTATGACAGCAAGTCCCGGATGAGCTTCAGGGAACCGAACGATCCAAGATCACGCGAAATCGTCAACAATCTAATCCAGCTAACTTACTTAGCGAGGTACGAAGAACGGGCCCCTGGACTCCAACCACATCAAAGCCAGACTCCAGATCCCAGAGTCTCAGTTATAAGTAATAACAAAGCCATATTTGCTCACCTCTGAAGAAACTCTAAAGTGGAAGCCAGCTCAGATGGATAATGGATGTTAAAATTGTAGTAGCTCCCACAAATAAGATCCACAATGTTTTTCAACTGGAGAGCTAACTGCCATACTTCATCCTCATGGTTTTGTATTTTGTCACCAATCAAAACTGGCAGCAATCTCAAAAGGTTCCAGTTTTGAACGGCTTGCCCTGATAATTTGGATCCGTCAGGTTTGACAGTACATGGCTTTGTAAGTGCTTCGGATCCTTTATATTTAAACTGTTTAATGACAGATAGACTGGAAGAAGATTGTGCGTCTTTTTAGCAGAACCCAGGGGATTCACTAC